GCCGATTTGCACAGTACAAATCTTCCCGCACGTTCTATATAGAGTCAGTATAGACTACTACGGTAGGCCATAACAAACCGAACTTTTTTGATTTGTGCATAAACTCTGTCATATCGCCGGAAGATATGGCGCACTGGACAGACAAAGACTGGACCAAACCAATACAAAAACGAAGTGTTAGTCTATGCACAAAAACAAAGTTTCAGTTTGTTATGACACACATCACAAAAGTTTTGGTTGGCTTGTGGTGCAAATACGCGAATTGTTTACGCATTGTGTCGACAATACGCCTATTTGCACCTCAAGCCAACCCAGCACCACCTTGTCACAAACAATATCATAAAAGGGACTAACCGTCGCTTTCACCGTACTTTATTGGGATGCCCGCCTATTTTAACCGTAATTACTGTGCATCATGCTGAAAGGCGTTTCGGAAGTGCTGGACGCAAACAAATCGCTGAAGTACTTCAATTTCGTGACACCGATCGGTTACTAAAATATATCCTTTAACTTATTTTTGAAAACGACACTTGGAACCTATGAATCGAACTCTTGTCCTCTCACTTCAGACCCGCTCGCGTTGCTTAGCGTGTTTGCACCTAATCATACTGCGACAAGTACATGCAAGAAGCACAAGCGTCGCGCAACGAAGTGTTATGGTCCTCTACATGAGCACGTGTTGCCCAATGGTGTAGCCTTGGCGGTGGCACTGAAGCAGACAGGAAGGATAAATTGGTGTTATGTGAAGACCGTGTTTTCCAGTCAGCTTCGAATTCCTTAATCACCTCGCCATTACGGGGTCCGATTTCCAGCTACACGATCAATGCAGCAGAACTAACTCACTACCACGCATGTAAAATGAACAGGGCGGAGACTAATTGCACCGGAAATAGGGCGAGCCGGACCGCAAATCATTTCCATCAAACTGGATTACACTTAACCCGGCAGGATTCACCTGAACTGGACCGGCCCACGTTATCATTTTGAGATATAAGGTGTTCGCAGAACGAAGTAGGATTACCCCGTCATGTGCCTAGGTTTGCAGGAGCTACAGTTTCAAGCACATCAAGTACTGTACACTCTTGTTTGCTCATCAAGCTAGTAATTGCAGTGGCCGTGGTAGTTGTAGCCGGACGGTAAATTCAAGGATACTACAACAACACTTCACGATGGGAAACTGGGCACGGCTTCCTTCATAATAAATTAATTTCCTTTAGATATTGGGTACATCAGTAATCTAAAGTGACGTTGGTTTCGACCCCTGATTGATGCCAATAAGCGTAATCTGGTACTAAAAGCATGATGCGAGGTAATACTTCAGCTTGCGGTTGACCCCTTATGAAATTTATTGTACTATGTGTCCAGATTCCCTAGCGGTTTCATTATTGGTTAAACTAACCACTTCTGCTACTCCGACACCAACGTAGGGCGAATGAGCTTCATTTAGTTTTCGTGCGACGTTTTCAGAAAAAGTTTGTTTCGGGGCTGGAACACCAGAAATCGGGCCAGGTCTACAAACTGGTGGACACAACAACAGTGCATGAGCCAGTGGCAACTCGTGCAAGACATACTGGCAACGCTGACCAATTCCTCCTTGCATAAAGAGAGTCGGGGCCTTAATCATTTCGTATAAAATGACCAAAAGACAAGTATGATATACATACAGCTAGTAAGCATAATGACAAAACACTAAGACAAAGTTTTCTTGTCGAGATACTTTCACCGAACGGGTGCACCTCAAGTAAGCCGTCCAAGAGGTCACGGTGATCTAGTAGAGTTAGCCTGCCGACTGAAGATTGTGTATACGCCAAACAGCTCATCGAAGAGCATACTGCGGATGCGAGGCTCGTGATGATTTCGAGGCCCTTGTCGTTTTTGAAAGGTGCTCATCAAGGCGGAAATAACTCTGACCTTGATGAGCACCTTTGTCGACGACCATCACGAGCCTTGGCCCGTTGTATAAGTTCAGCACTGAAGGAGGATACCAAAGCACTTGGACAACTCCTCACCGATGGCCTTCTCAATGCCTTTCACGACGCTTTTTGAGCTCGCAATAGGATACGACACAAATCAGCGGCATGGTGATAAAATTACCGTTAATGGGGGAGTCCAAACGATACCAATAGAAACGGGGTATCCCATATAGTAACGCCATCATTCAAGGAGGTCTCTTCCGACCCGCAAAAACACGCAAGATATTGAACCTCACAATCCAACGCATGCTCCCGGCTTTGGCGCCTTCGGGTATGGCTCAGGAGTCAACCGTCCCAGATAGCCACAGCGCTTGTACTACGTATCGTGCCCCCGTAGTTGGGGTGGCAGCCACGGACGTGGGACACCAAGTTGCTGTAGCCCGACCTAGACCTGTGTGTGATGGAGTGGATCGCCGGAACTAGCAAGGGTCCCCCTAAGTTGCGGTATCTTTCATCTCGAATAAGAGCCAAAGGGCCCCGTTCATAGTGTGCTGGAGCGGGCCTATCTCTTACATTTAGACTCTGTACCCATCCTACCCATAAGCCTTAATAAACAACGCTAAGAGCATCTCCAGGGGTAGGTCTCAACGGTGGTTTTATCCTAAAAGTAAGCACTTGAGACTCGGACGAGACTTGTGGCTCCCATTATTGGCGGTTTTAACTTAAAAAGGACCTAAATGTTGGCTTTCGAGTCTTAAAATAAAACTCGAAGCTTAAAAGTCGTGGCTTGATTTCAGTATAGTGTAGAGGAAACGTCACTTTGCACTCTTCAACAATGGGAAAAGGAAAAGAATGCAGTGAAAGCGAAACCATCCAGCTCTGTCGCTCGTGGCTGGAGACCTCCGAGGACGCTGTAGTCGGGGCTGGGCAGAAGAAGAAGGCCTTTTTAAGTAGGTGGTATGAGGACTGACTGGAGAACAAGAGCGATGAAGACAAGGAGGATCGCTCGGAGACTGCCATCAACGGCCGCTGGAAGAAGTTGCAGCCGGAGGTCACCAAGTACTGTGGGGTGTACGGCAAAGTGAAGAGCAGGCAGCGCTCCGGATGGAGCGAGGAGATGTAGCACTCAAAGTCTACGCGGACCGACACAAGCAGGAGTTTAAGTTCCTCCCGGCGTGGAAGGAGTTGAAGGCGGTGGGTGTTGCCGGCACAGCTGGAGCGCCGCCAGCCCCCGACCACGAGCAACCTCGAGCTGGATCCATCCTGACATCGACCACGACTTCTCTTGAAGCCAACAAGGAAAACGAGACCAACACAAGCACTGAAACTTTTTCAACTACGTTAGTTTAACCGTCATGGCACTCTACATGCCATCTAGGCCGTAGCATTGCAGCATCAAGCTTATCTATTGGCGTTCGCCAAATCGACGCCATACGTGCTCGATCAGATCGGTTTTTAACTCGTAGTGAACTACTTCGTCCTCAATGGCGTCCAATGCTTTTGCAATTGTGGTTACGGGGCTCTCGGCGCTGCGGCAGGTCTGGCAGGGCTCACCCAGTTGTCGTCCAAAAGATAGTCGTGACTCAGCGAGCTGAATGGCAGCTTGTCCACAACAATCATGTTGTGGAGTATGATGCAGGCCAGCACCACGTTGTTCATTGCGTCCACTTTCCACAGCTTACACGGCAGTGCAATGATTCAGAATCGCTCCTGTAGCACGCCAAACGTACGCTCTACGTCTTTACGAACCGCTTCCTGCTCGACCGCGTAGCGTTTGCGTTTGTTGCCGTGTGGAGCACTTATACTCGATTGAAAGATTACCCAGGCTGGGTAAATGCCGTCTGTCAGGTAGTATCCCTGGCCGTACATTCCTCCGTTCACCGTAAACTGCACCTGGGGAGCGACCCCACTCACCAGGTCGTTCAACAACGGTGAACGCTCAAGCACATTTAGGTCATTGTTAGCCCCCTTCATTCCGAAGAACGCATACCAGATCCACAGCGACTTGGACGCGACAGCCTCCATAATGACGGTGGACGTCTTTTCTTTGCCCCGGAAAGCCCCTTCCCAAGCTGTTGGGCAGTTTTTCCAACACCAGTGCATGCAATCCAAGCTCCCGATCATTCCGGGGAAGCCACGCTCTGCATTCTCCGCGATCAAGTTCTCCAGGTCATCAGGCGTCGTTTGGCGTAGATACTCTGGACCCAGCAAGCGAATAATATTACTTGAGCGACTCGAGTCGCCATGTGTTCGAGTCCTTATTATAAGCGTTGTGAGAAAACACTTTCTATAGGCATTGCTTCAACAAAACATTTGGTATTAGCTAAGGCAACATTGTTGTGATTGGTTAATAATTTCAACTTCAACTGATTGGTAAGATACTATTTACGATCAGACTTATAACTTTGCCGAAACTTTAGACTTTAAAGTTCTCGTGACCAAACCGGAGAATATTAGAGCGTCTCCAGCGGTCAGACTTATCTTAAGTCTTAACAGGCTGTTTAAGACCTCAAAATTTAGAATAAGTCGACTTTGTGGTAGCGTGCTCCCACCGGGGAAACTTAATCCGAGGCTTAATTAATCGACCAATCACAGCGTCTTTTACTTATCCCAACGAAGGCAACGATGGAGGGAGGCTTGCCGCCGATGTTCAACGGCTCCAACGCGTTCGACGACTCAGACGAGGAGTACTACCTTACCTACATGGTCACGGATGACGCCAGCGAGCCCACTCCCAAGCATGGAGGTTCTACCGCATGAAGAAGAGCAAACAAGGAGCGCGAACGAGAAATTTGGGGAGAGCGCTTGATGAAGGATTACTTTGGGAAAAACCCGACCTACGATGACCGTGCGTATTAGACCTGTTTAGTGCAGTGCACAAAAGTCCCTACAAATGCACTAAAGTACTTTAGTGCACTTTTGGCGCACCTGCACACAACTGATGCTGGACATTAGCGCGTGCACTAAAGTACTTTAGTGCATTTGTGGGGACTTTCGTGCACTGCACTAAACATGTCTAGTGCGTATATATCTGTTGTTGGCAATCAATGATTCAGCTACTTTTGCTAATACTATGTTATCTATGAACACCGTAGAGGACTTCCGCAGACAATTTCGGATGCGTCGTAACATCTTTGAACGCATTGTTGGCGCGCATTTTTGGCGTCCTCGGCGACGATGAGGAGTGCAGCTACTTCGTCCAACGTCCAGATGCAACTGGGAGGTTTGGGTTTCTTCCTGAGCAGAAAGTGACCTGTGCGCTGCGCATGCTCGCGTATGGGGCGTCCGCCGACCAGCTGGACGAGCTGATACGCATGGGGGAGTCTACCGTGTACAAGCGGGTAGTCGCTCGAAAGCAATGCATTCATGGCATATCGCTGAATAGCATCTACGGGTCAGCTAGTGCATGCTCACAGTGGTGCAGCGCGCCATCGTCGCTACGGGAGCGATAATGCTTTTGGTGCTGTTCATCAGCAGACACGCATGGCCGACCACAGCAAATATCGACGGATATTCCAGATGCACAACGAATGTCGTGATCCATGGTGAATTGATGGAGACAATACATAACGGATTGCAGCGGATATCGCCCTTCCGTCTCGTAGGGAAGGCAGGCGGATAGTGCCCGATCTCCGTGAAGGACCTCTGGCGATACCAGCAACGACAGTCACTGAGTGTGCTCTCTGTGGATCGCATTACTTCTTGACCACATCTCTGGAGATATCCTCTATTCGAGATATTATACCGGAAAAGTCGTATTGATAGAGCACCCGGAAAGATAGAGCATCTAGCACATTGTCTTAGTAAATAGTTCAAGGCCATATTATGCACGGACGAGGTCACGACAGGACGCAATGTAGGGAAAATGTACATCGTATTAAAACACGGTGAGGTGCTTGTACAGTGCTTACACAGTTACCTCTTCTACAATGTCCGTGTAGTCTACATGGTTGCTGCGCTTGGGGGCAGGCGCGCTGGCAGCACTATTTGGAGGCCCATACGGCAGGAAAGGGCCTGCCTTTAGAAACGAGTTTTGAACTGTCGTGGCGGAAACACAACGAAGCCCCCCATTGCACGCTCGAAAATCTGATGCCGACGAAACGCAGGCGTTACAGTCTTCGGTCGAAGTTTGGTCCATATTGAACAGTGCACGTGTAAACCGTGAGGCTAGTATTAGGGTCAAACATACAATGCTGCGTCGCTACCTCAGTCACTTGCTCGACAAATGGCAGCCGCAGAGCTTCCAGCTCTTCTCGAGTCTTGCGGCCTGAGTGGCAGATGCGTCGAATGGTGAGGTGGTGCCGGCGCAGGAAGCGCTGGCACCAGGACTTCTTGGCGTCCGGGCTTTTGGGCCCCATCACCTCCGGCATGAGCTCTGTAGCCATGTCGATGATGAAATCAACCGTTACGGTGTGCTCCAGCCGCTGCTCATCCTTGATAAACACGCACAATGTGTCCTCGATCAGGGCCGTGTCGGGCTTGCGGCCGCTGCCGCTGAGTGTGAGGCGGGAGGCACGGTAGGGAACCGGAGGGAGGTAGGGGCTGGCTCGAGGCTGACGCTGGGACTCTTGGGCCAGGCGGGAGTACTAGCGCTCCCAGTTCTGCAGCGAAGGGCGGGGGAAGCCACTTGACTCGGCAAACGCACTGCGGCTCGTGCCGCTAGCGCGCTTTGAAGCGGTTGGTGTGGGCTGCGGTCGCGGGGCATGCTGCTACTGGTTTGGAAGTCAGGCTTCTTCTGCTGCTGGAGGTTTGCGTTGTGTGCTTGCCGTCTCGGAGGAGCCGAACAGTTCACGGCGCACGTCGATCAGTAATTTTCTACCGTGTTTTATAGCAATTTTCGCCTTGTCGCAGTACTATCACAATTATCGGAATGATAGAGCACAGCGCAACCCGCAATAGAAAATTGGGGCTCTATCAATACGACGTTTCCGGTACTACTGCTGCGCCTCCAGTATTCGTGACCCCAGGTGTCTCCCCTCGTTCTATCCAGGGATTTGGGGGTGGGGCAACGTTATGGAAAGCAGGTGCCAGCATGCTACACAGAGTGGGATTAACGCCACAAACCCGCAAGCCGGATGAAGCGTTTAGGGGGCTTTACGGGATCGCTGAATATGCTCTATCCTATCAACTGTATTGGGATAGTAATCACTGTGGTTTAGATCTTTTGGTACTGACAGGGAGAGACACGGTCACTCAGCGGTATATTTTACGCAACAAAACTGTCCAGCCGTATCCAGAATGGCTGCCCTATCTAGAAATCCGACGCTTCGTTCCGTGATAGGCGCCTATCTCGTCTCGTGAGCGGCATAGCCAAATGGTCCCACCCACGGACGGGACAATTATATCTGACCAAGAGGCGAAGTGTCGCGGGCCAGGTAGTTCGTCGACTCCTCCTCGCCCACTATTCGGAACTTATGTACAAGGCAAGCTGCGCTACGGAGCTACAGGTCTCAACTTCACTGGTCAGCCATACACTGATGGTAAATACGCCGAGGGATCCGGTCCTCAAGATGAACATATGACGCTTGTATCGGGCACATGTAGAAAGTGCACCAGCAACAAGCGGTTGCTGTACTGCATGGCCGACGTCGAGCTGCCACGACCATAAATCCACCTACGCATTTGATTACGGTGGCATGGGGATGTCACTTGGCGCTGACGACGCCGTAAGCGTAAACGGCGGATATACCCACACCAGACCATCGGATCCCTGCGCACCTTGCGGTTCTTCGACGGTAGGTCTCACTGGGACCCCGCACCTGGCGGCACAGGGATGGTTATTAGACATAACGATGGGGTGAAGCTCACGCCTCAGATTGTGTGGATGGCTAGCGTCTCCTGCATGCCCAAGACGACCAACAAGATTGCCGAGTATTGTGATCTACTTAACGGCTGCAGTATGTTATCCGGTGCAAGATGATGGGAGCCCACATTGTCAAGGTTGTCATTGAAGGCGTCGCAAGCAGCGTGGGATCGTTGGACGGTGGTCGCGATGCCGGCACTGAGCGTGCAGGGGGCTACGCCGCCGGAGTGGCCGCCACGTAGACGGAGGACGCGCTGGAGCTCTCCAGCGCGTGGAGACCGCGGAGACCGACCGGGAGACAGCTGGTGCAGCTATGGACGTGGAACATGCCTCGACCCAGACATTTACAAGGACTTTATTGGCAATGTCAGTTATGTGCGGACCGACTGATGATGGCCTCCCGGTCTCATTGTTTACGACACACACGGCGGACGGAGTAGCCAACCTGGGCATGGATAGCAAGAAGGGCACTCAAGTAATCGCTACGGATATGGCACGCCTGCCTTCGGGCTGGACAGAAATAATCGCACCCCTTCAAGCGGACGTTGAGCGCTGGATGGACAACAATCCAGATCAGAGATGAGGTAGGACTCCGGACCTCCCCACATTCTGGAGCACCTTAGCGGGTACACATTTGCTGGCTCTACTCGATGTAGTCAGCATACCATTAGATAATCGGTAAGCATCAGAGTGTGGCGCTGTGAATCTTCAAACACACCCAGCGACAGGTGGCAGCCTGGCGCCAGAATGTGATCCAGTCCCTCAAGATTCTACTCAGGACGCTAGCAAGGTAAAGGGGAATCTGGCAGAATCCCAAGACTCAAAAGGTATCAAACAAGAATCCCCGGTGCCCAGCACGATGGCTGGACTTCAAGGTGCATGGCTGGATCGCAAGACGCCAAGGTACCCAGTAGGTCGCCAAGAAGGGCAAGCAGCAGGGTGTGGAAGGATAGCTAGCGCCGCTTTCATGTTTTGCGTTGCTCTCAGAATTCAATTTGCTTTCTCAAGTGCATTGGTCGTCATACAGAGGGCAGGAAATGCTTTAGGCCGTAAGTTACCCTAAATGACAGTTATACACATCCACTTAACAGGCGCTGTCCCTAGTCATGTACATAAAAGTGGCCGCATGCACACTCGCTGCACTTGCTCGTACACTGACCACGAGTACTTACACTCGCCCATGACGTTCATTGTCGCGTCATCAAGCGAAGCGACGAGAAGCTGAAACGTCTCCTTGTCCTGCGAGTTGGTGAGAAGCTGAAACGCCTTCTTTTACTGTGAGAAGAATGCATCTCTCCATCGCTGGCCCCAGTGACAATAGCATTTTGTTCGCTGATCTCCCACACACTTTCAGTAGAGCTTGAATTCGAATCTATCAGGGTGTAAAGTTTGTTAAGTTGAAGTTCCAGCTGTTTTTCGGGTTGGAGCGCGCCATGGTCTTGGCTTCGTGGCGACTTGTCCTTTTAGCCAAGCTGCACTCAGAGCCTGTTGAGGGTGATGGGGGAAGTGAGGAAGCGGTATTCATGGAGAGTTAGGCCGAATCACATACTAATATCGAGGAAAAAGGCAAACCCATCAAATGGGATCAAACGCATACCACAGAGGTAACCGCAATTACACTCACTGATACTAATTTGTGTAAGACGTTTAATTTTTCGTTCACACGATATAGTCTGAGTAAAACTATTGCGAAGCGCGGTTGGAATATCCACCCCTAATTAGCTAACATATTTATCTTTATTGGATTTGAAAACCTAGGGACAAAGCGAAATCGGTTAGCAAATAGGAGTGTGTAATCCAGCTTGGGCCACTACCAAGGCGTCTTTGGGCCGATATTTCCCGGAGGTTGATGTCATCCGTGCCAATTAGGATGCTATCCTATTGTTTATCTTGTGCAAATATCTCTATAGGCTTTGGGGCCTTACATATATCACGCTACGAAGCTGGCGGCTTGCATCGACACGTACAGAGCTATAATTATTTAGCTCAAATAGCTCGGAATGCCGACTTGCACGGTGACATTACGCCTTATTTACAAACAAATCTGTTGCGAAGGGCATGAGAGTGTCCGCACCGGTAGAGCTATTTCTATTCTACCGGTATATTTAGCACGAGAACCACCTGTTTATTTTAGAATTGGCAGTGGTATAGCATCGTCCTATTAGCGGTGTTGCTAGCTATTTTCCTGTCTCTTGCGTGTTAGGTAATGGACGTCACCGCAGGAGCTGAGTGGGTTGAAGCGTTCCCGAATGAAGCTGATGAAGAGGAACACGCATTCATGGCTATCATTGATGCCACGCCACGCGGAATCTGTGTACAACCCGAGCCTGGAGGATCAAGACCTGGGCGCGCACCCAACAAGAAACGAGATCCAGCGGCTCGCCACTTAAGACTCCTACAGCAGTACTTTGGGCCCGAGCCAATATATAACGAGCGTGAATTCCGAACTCGGTTTCGAATGACCTAGCGTTTGTTTATCAAAGTCTTACAAGGAGTAGTGGAGACCGACTCGTACTTCGTTGAGCGGCGGGACGCTACTGGAAAACTCGGCATCTCGAGCTTGCTCAAAGTTACAGCTGCCTTAAGGATGCTTGCATACTCTTCGGCAGCTGATTCCATCGACGAGAACCTTGAGATAGTGTACTTATATGCTTGAAGCGGTTTTGTGAGGCCGTAATTGAGCGCTTTGGGAGTGAGTACTTACGATCCCCGACGACTTCGGAGCTTCAATCAATTCTAGAGCAGAATGCAAGACGCGGGTTCGTCGGTATGACAGGCTCACTAGACTGCATGCATTGGGAGTGGCGTAATTGCCCGACCGCTGTAGCTGGGCAACACAAAGGAAAAGAGAAGAAACCAACAAAGATATTGGAGACCGTCGCAGACTACAACCTTCGCATTTGGCACTGCAACTTTGGGTCTCCTGGTTCTCTGAACGATATCAATGTTTTGGATAAGTCCAATTTGTTTAACGAATTCCTGCAAGGTAAGGCCCCACGCGTGGAATACACACTCAATGGTACGTTAATATTTTTCGCACAATGTACCATAAAACACTTTAGGCTTATTATATCGCTTATGTGAACTAGGCACGAAATGCTTATCTACTTGCGGATGGTATCTATCCAGAGTGGGCTGTATTTGCGAAATCAATTGAGCGGCCTCGCGGAAGAAAACAAAAACATTACGCCGGATGCCAGGCAGCCTGCCGTAAAGATGTTGAGCGTTGTTTCGGTGTCTTACAAGCGCGGTGGCGGATCATCGACACACCATGTCGGTTGTGGCGCGCCGATGCAATGGCAACCATCATGCATGCATGCATCATCTTGCATAACATGATTGTAGTGGATGAGCTGGATGATCCAAGCTTTACGCACAAATATCTGTTCGACGAACAAGCTCAACCAGGGGTGCTGCCCGACATTCGCGTTACGCGGCCGACTGCGGCCGGCCACGGTCGCAGATCTCATAGCAAACTCGCACGTCCTGCACAGCCAACGACAGCACTTTCGGCTGAGGAATGATCTCATTGACCACCTGTGGGAGCTACATGGGAACAAGGATTCATGTTCAATGTCGGTCACGGAACGTCCGCTGAGCTCTAACGCAGACACCTGTGCATGGCAAGCAACAAACTTCGATACAGCAGCGGAAATGGTTTGAAACCTTGAGCTGAGCGAGGTTATTACTCGTGTGGAGTTGAGCTTCCCCTGGGCTCGGAGAAGCTCTTCGAAGACATCTTTTACTCGACCGTAAAACTCTTCGCTGTTTTGGTTGATGCCTATTCCTCCGTCTTCACTCACTTCGATCCACGCCTCGCAAAGAGCCTTATCTTCGGCAGCACGGTAGTTCGCTCCTCGAACGCGACCGCTCATCTTGTGCAATGGCCAATAATTACTCACACACCCGATGCTATTTTCACTGCCAAATCTTGCATCCGAAATAGCTTTGAGGCTCAAATGCTATTTTTATTTAGCATTTAGGATTACCGGTGGCTCGACCTGGAGCTATTTTGCTGTCAGATTTCGCACTTAGCAAGTGATTAGCACTACCGGTGCGGACACTCTGAGCCTGCCTGCTAATCGCCATGATAATTCCAAGTCTAAAATAGAGGTGGAGGATCTAATTTGGAGATCAGTCGAGCTAAATAAGACTTTGGAGTCTAAATTAGCCCAAACCTTGACCGATTTACTATCCGATTAGACATTTGGGGTATATCTCCCTGATTTTAGAAAATTAATATCGGCCCGATTTTGCTACCGACAAAATCACTGAAAGATTAGCACTTACGGTACTGATCCTCCAACTTTTTGAGTCGAAAAGTGTTCGAAAACACAAGTCGACTCTGATTGGTCCGCCCTTATAGCTCCAAATACATCGTCACTGCACCGATGGCGCCCGAACCTGAGGGCAAGTGGGTCTTCCCGGAGCTGCGCGCCATGATCCTGCAGTCGACGCGGCCGCCCGCGCCCACTCCGGACGATGCGGACAAGGAGAACACCGAGACAGAGAGCCCCTTGGTGTTCCGCACACCAAGTTTCCTGCAGTCCGAGGTGCCGTGGCACGTGGAGCAGCAGCTGAGACGCACCACTTGCGCCTTCGTGGAGCACTTGGCACAGCTCCTGGAGATGCCCGACGCCCCCAGCATCGCGGCCCAGCTGTTCGTGCAGCGGTTCTACATGCTGCACTCGTTCGCGACCCACGACCGCTTCCTGGTAGCCACGGCGGCGCTGTTCCTGGCCGGCAAGACGGAGGAGTTCCCCATCAAGGTGCGGTACGTCACGGAGGCCTCCATGTTCCTGCTGCTGTGCAGAGAGCAGGCCCAAGAGAAGCTCCTGACCAAGCACAAAGCTACCGGAGGCGCCAAGAGCAACGGAGTGTCAGCGCCTCGACGGTCGCCGTCGCCTGCTCCGCCGGCCAAGAAGAAGCAAAAGCTCGACTCCAAGGGCAAACCGGTGGAGATGAGCTCGACGCTGGGCAACGACAAGGAAGCAGCAAACGCCAAGCACATTGAGTGGCTGAATGCGTTGCTGGAGGTGGTGGATGTGGGGGAAGTGGAGGCCAATTCGAGCAAAGTGCTGCTGCTGGAGCGGATCCTGCTGCTCACGCTGTCGTTCGAGATCGGGGCGCCGCAGCCGTTCGCGTATATTGCGCCGCATATGGAGCGAGTGTTCGCGCTGGAGGCCATGCACCCAGACATTTCGTACGAGAATACTCGCCAGATCACGTTCTTGCTGGTCGCGGACGCCGTGAAGAGTGGGTTATGTCTGGCGTTCGACTGCATCGCGCTCGCTGCGGGAGCAGTGTATCTAGCCTGCTTGTATCATCACCAGGTGGTGCCGAATGTTGCAACAGAGAAGAACGAGCCCTGGTGGACCGTACTAGAGCTTCCCGAGAAGGAGCTTGAGGAGGTCGCGCGATGCTACCTGTGGATGTATGAAGACGAGAATGGACAAAAAAGCCAAGGACTTGGACCCGACTTCCTGGATTTGTGGACACGATATCGGCCAGACGATAACCGACCCGACCTTGAGGCTGTCAAGGCAATAGATGCAGGCTTACATACGCCGTAACTCGGAGAAACCAGGAGGAAGGGTACTTTTTGATGTCTTTTAAATCTGACTTGACCATTGCACAACGGCGCGGTAGCTCCTTCCCAGTGTTTTCCTCAACCCATGCAGCGTGGTGGACCCAGATGAAATTCGCTTTACACACTGATCGGTGTCACCATCAAGGCATTCAGACCCAACTCCGCGCCTTGCGAGGGCTATCTAGCAAGCTCTTGATGTAGAACACCTGGAAGAAGCACACCACAAGGTACACGACGCATTCCAGAGCTCCGTAGAACATCACGTGCTTGTTCATCTCCTCCTCCACTGCAGCACACAAGCGCCAGAAAACACATTAGAGACTGTCGCCTTCCAGCAATTACCGTGTCTCAGTCCAAAAGCGCACCTTTGATATGCCTGTCTGTCCGAATCAGCTGCAGTCTCTGCTCGGACTCGAGCTCTCCGAGACGCACATCCAGGTGCGATGCGTACTTGGCCAGCACGCTCACATGCTCTGCAGCAATCACAACAACCTCATCAGCCTAATGATAATAGTCAACACCAACCCACTGTAGGTCGCCGCACCTTTCTCGACCGGATGCTGCGACTGCAGCGTGTTGGTCACGTGTGTCACCAGCTTGCCGTCCGAGTCCGGGTTGATGAAGCACAGCTCGTGCACGCCCGCTTGCCTGCAACCACAGCACCGTCAGAGCCATTCATCTGGCCAATCAACGCGTCTCCCATGCCAATGCGTCTACTCACTTGGGCGTGAGCAGATATTGTCCCTCGGCGTCCCCAAGTCGGCGGTAGATCGTGACGCCCTCTGGGTTCTTCACCTCCATGTCAATGTGCGAGTCGGCAGAGCTCACCACGTAGGCCCCGCCAAGCTCGTCGCCCTCGAACTTGGCGTCCTGGTAGAAGCACTGGCTGCTGCCGCCCTCCACGTAGAACGTCAGGCCCTCGGACGGGTCGAAGTCGAAGCTCTCGACGGTGCGGCCCCTGGGCGCGTACTCGGCGTCTGCGCCGACGCCACGCGGCTTGTCGTCGTACGGGTCGAACTGCGGGTCCTCCGCCACTGCCGCAGCCTCCGGGTCCAGCTCCGCGAAGTCGCCCGCCAAGATCCCAGGCAGCGCCAGCAGCAGCAGCCGCGTCATCGAGCGCAACATCTTCATCTTGACCAATATCGGACTATAATGGAGTATTTTTGTGCCCGATACCAATGTTTGTGTCTATTTGGTGTGAAACACATCATTTTTAAGCATCATTTCAATTTCAATCCGAATTATCTGCTGAGTATGGAATCAATACTATTGATGCTGAGGCTGGTAGCTACCGTGGAGCAGGGAGCAGCAAGGCTTTATTTGCTGTTTTGACCACGGTAAGGTGAGGAATATATATGCCTCTTCGTCTTCCGCTCACCGGAGGCCTAGCACCATATTTTGTATCATTTGAAGTCTCGAGTTCATCACTCCTTGGATAGATGGAATCAAGAAGTCGGCCTCGACGTGAGAGGATCCGCCCCCTGCACAAGAGCTTCCGCCTGGATGGACATCAAAGCTCCAGGCAACTTTGGTTCTATGTCCTGGGTCAGTGCTGGTTGCCGCATTAGGCTGAACCCGCTGCACACGAGTTGTTGGTTACATGCCGCCACACCTTCGAATGCCCCATGTCCACAGACCACTCCACCGTCGACTCCATCAGAGCAACGAAGCCCCCAGGAATGGTTAAGGCTTTCATCACCAGGTGATTGCCACCAGTGACGAGTATGCCGTTCTGTAGTTTCACGGGCAACAACACCTTCATCGTCACCGTGTCCGTGGAGCGCCAGGCAACTTCAGCGTCCATCTTGACGCCGAACTGAATACCTCCCACAGCGCCTTCCACACGTCTTCCTCGCTGGAAGAGATGAAACTCTCCCGGGTGAACTTGATTGCAAACTGCCCGTCCGAAGGATTCAGCACTTCCACCGCGTCGACGTCTCGGTCTGCGTCAATAGGCAAAGTGGTGGACAGAGCTCTAACGACAGCACCACACTTCGAGTTCAGGGTCTCCTCCAGCGCATCAAAGACCCAAGCGTTGAGCTGAAACTTCCGGCCGACGCAGAGTTCCTTGTGAAGGGACCGTGACGCACGCAAATGACAGAGGCTCTGGAGCTGGTCGTTCGACAAGAGCTGCTCCAAAATTTTCTCTTGGGATACTGCAACGCGCTTGAGCACTCGTTAGCGCACCTTGAGGTAGATCCGATCGGCCAGCGCCTTCTGGTGTCGCTTCCGATCTAGCCCCGCCTCCCACTTCTCTGATTCGAGGGCACGACGTCGCTCCAACTCGGTCAGCTGCGTCGTCAACTTTGCCGATTCTTGACGCAAGGCTGCCAAACTCTCTTTACGACGAAGCCACGTTAACTTTTGCTTGCCCTTCTTCGTCTTGCCTCATACAGCATCAAGCACTCGCCAAGCCAAAGCTGGGCACAGAGCAATACTCAAACAACATACAGTAATCATGAAGCCCAGCGTAGTAATCGATGAGTAGGGAGCAGCGCACTCAACGCAACTTGCTTGTTAGCGACGGCTGCCTACGCCATGGAGACTGGACCAACCGAAAACGGTTTGGTCATTTTGACGAGAGTTCATCGTGTGTACATAGTGTACACAGTAGAGTACAATAGATCGACCTCGAATTGCGCTTTTGAAAACGCCGGGCTCTCGGGCAAGAAGATAATCCTCCCTGGTCACGTGATGACACTCCCTTGTTGACGCGGTCAGGTAGAAAACCGAGGTCACCACATAATCAAGCCATTCGAGACGATTCCTCCGCTTCGGTCGCTTCGAAGCATTCCCAAACTTGACACGAGCAAACAAGTCATCTTGACCAAGACAAGACCCTGATGCAGCCTTTCCCTGTTCGTATCAACGACCCGCTCCTGGGAGCGCCCAACCATTTCAGCATGGACTCGACCGTTGTGGGGCCTCTCTTTCCTCGGTCCAAACGCGATACCAAAAGTTATGGCAATGCCCCTGGCTGGAGCAATGTGCGCAGCATGAGCCAGAGCTACCATGATCCATACGAATACTCGCCTGTTCCGCCGATGCCACCCACGCCGCTATCTCTGGCTCGACCCACCTCTTCAAGCTTGATCATGCCTCCACGGAATGTCGATCCTGGTTTGTCCAGTACAAGCTCAGCGTCCGACGGTGAAAATCAAGCTAGACATGCTCCTGGTCCTGGCAAGGCCAAGCCGACGCAGAAGAGGATTCGACCCAGCACAGAACATCGTCGGGAGCAGTGCCATCTCAATCAGGCCCGATACCGGGACAGACAGCGTACGAAGATCAAACTCCTCGGACAAGCGGTGTCAGAAGGATATTTCTCTGCTAGAACGCCAGCGCGATCGGGCCCTCTTCGGAGGTAAGCGCAGCGTCTACAACGTCATTGTCGAGTACTTCCACCTCTTTCGCCACGGCGTCGACGTCTCCCGTGGTTGCCTCCAAAGTGACGCAACGCAGCGGCAACAAGTTTTCTTGCGCTACTCGATGGCACCGAACGTAGTTCTAGGCGAAGACTAAGGGGTGACGGCTCTCATGCAGCGATGGCACCGGTATTCGGCTTGCTTCCAGGACCTGGGATTTCGTCTAGATCACATGAGCGAGTTGTCAAAGGGCCTCATCGTTGTGTCGGCGTCGATCAGGGTGACCATCACGAAGGAGACACTGAACCAAGTGTTTCCGCGCCTTTCGGGGGGCCGTCACGGCAGCCGAACCGGTGAGCAACAAGACTTCAAGGCCGTGAGTCTGGGCGTGAAGCTGCTGCTGCTCCCGTCGACTCTTTATTTTGAGTGGGATCGCGTAACTATGCAGGTCGTGCGCTTGGAGATGGCGGTGGACTTCTTGACACCACTTCGTCGGGAGTTTGGGAACCTGGAAGATGCGTCGTTCGTGCTAGATGGGGCAAACATTGCACCCGACAGCGCTATCAGATACTCGTGTAAGTGTCTGATGGACCAGGGAAGTGGTAGAATGCTGTACATGTACCTACGTACCCAGTTGATAGGAACGATGGCGAAGTTTTAAGTTCAACACGGTGCTGTTTACTTGAGTTTTGGGTAGTACCCACCCACTTTTGCTGAAAAACAGTCTCCTACTTTTTAGTAGTAGATGCTCCACGTACGGTGATGTGGCAGCAATTGCTGCTTGTTGTCCTCACCAATTTGCCACAACAGCCAGTCGAGTTCGATTACTTGGAGCTGGTGTCCTCGGCTTGTCATTTGCTCGTGGAGCATCTCCACCGCTTGAATAGTTGCGGCGCGAATTTCGATCTCCATCTAAAGTAAATGACAGAAATAAGGTTGAGCACACTGCACCAAACACGATTGTACACAGGTAAATGGGTAGCTGCCTCACCTCACTTCCAGCTGGAATCTCAGTTTTACTGTCCACCAGTTTCGAGAGCTCCGATGAGTAAACCATCACGCCTTCAGGGCGAAGTACTTGTGGGACACGATAGTCAGCTGCAGCAAATAATAAAAATAAAACGACTCAGCCACTAGAAAACAACTAATTTCCGCGTACGAGCTTGTCCCCTACCGAACATGGTCAGCTTGCCGATATCATGGAACGAGGCAACACCAGAAGTACGACGCCCATAGGCCGCCCACACGTCGCCGACCAAAATCTGCGCGCGCTTGTAGAAATGCACCTGCTCGCCCTTGTAAACAGCATGGTCCCGGAAGCCTATATCGCAGTGGTTAGCTTATCAGCGGACCAGCCAAACAATTGCAATGATACGAGTGCAGGCCACCTGGAATATTCGCAAGCACGAGCCGGATAGCCTCGACCGCCGAAAAGTTGGCTTGCTTGATCATATTGAGGGCAAGTCCGTCGAAGAAGTATTGCAGTACTTCCCCCACTTCACGAACTTTACGTCGGCGCTCGTCTTGCTGCGGGGGTGTGAACGGGTGAAACCACGAAGCCACGGTCTCATTGGTCACGGTCGCCAAGTTGGCGGCGTCAAGAGCATGCCGGTCCCGCGCCAGCGCCGTCTTGAGACCTCGTGCTAGATGCTCGTACTCCATGCTGTCGTCAATCAGCCAGACGAAAAAGATTATGTTAGTATATGTTTAAAATATTTAAAGATAAGAAACAAATAGCTAATGTAGATAACTTACTTTTCCGTGGGCCAGAAGCAGAAATTGAGTGCGTCCAGCACGAACACGTATTGACAGGTCAGCGGACCGTCCTGCTCCACGTCTTCAAAGTAGTGGAAGTCCCCACTGTCCCATGTCACCGCGCCTTGTTGGTCTCCACTCAACCTATTGCCCTAAGATTATTATCATTCTTAGGATACGATAATAATAACATATTTGGTCGTCAATAGTAGCCATTTCCATACCAACTTGACAGCCAGTCGCTCCACGGCGGACGAGTCGATGCTCACGTGGGTCGCACACTGCGCCACGCGCGCTGTGGACTCTCGAACAAGCGCTGTAGGGTCCATGGCAGTGCTGCAGAGAAGGCCCTCGACAAGGGGCGCCCTTTGACCACCAAGCATCAGATTTGCATAAATGAAACTATCAAAACAAATAGTTTTGCTCCTTAATAAACAGATATTCGTTTCGATAGTTTCGTTTAATGTAAGGAATCCTTATTACATAGCACGGCAGCGACTTCGTTTTTTGCGCTCTTCCGCCCAAACAACGGACACCAACGAACTATGACCAACCATGTCTGCCACCGTGATCCCCTCGGTGGGGCCATCGATGGCTGAACACCTCCACGGCCTGCGCGGCGGTGCTCGACCTGACTTTCAGGAACCACTCCCCTCGCCTGCGCCGCTTCAAGAGCTCTTCGACCATCACCGGGCTGATGTTCCCCTTGAGGACTTCCTCCGTCGGGTGTGTGAGACTCGGCCTACTGGCACGGCCACTGCCACCTTTCCAGTGATGCTCGACTCCGGCAACTTCTTCCAAGGGGTGTCGATGCCACGCATCATAGACTCTCTGATTCGGGACAACGGGAACTCGGTTCTCAAACGTCTACTGCGTGAGCATGCTTTCGACGCGATCGACAAACGCCGAGATGGCGGCTTACGCATCCTGGTTCGCACAAGCGAAGCGCAGCAAGCTTTGAATGGCGAAGAGGTATCGATCATGGGGAGGAAGTTCCGGATTGGGCTAGAATCGCCTCTGGCTCAATGCTTCTTCCTTGATGTGATCGGCCTCACTACCGCGGAGGAGGCACTCACCGTGTTCGGGTCCCTGGCCTCTCGTGGGGCTAAACCTGTGTACTTCCGACCTGCTGCTTACGATAAGGTCTCAGGCCTTTGCTCTACAACGTGGCGTTTGTACTTTCCAGGGGAAGAGGCTCCACCAAGCCTCTTCCGCGATAGGAGCCTACGCTCCTACGTCCGTGTGGGGAGGAAATCCTACCGATGCTTCGGTAAGAATGACGCGTCTGGGGGCCGACCTCGCCGTCAAAACCCACCGTGGGAAACCCCGGCACTGCGTGTGCATCAGCGCACGAGAGAATCAAGTGGTGACGACGGACCCACGGCTGCAGTCACCGGAAACGCAGCTGCGGCCACGCCAGCTCCTTCAGATCCAGGACAGACTGTCGCTCCCCAGGAAGCTGTACCGTCGAGTCACTCACCCCAGCCTGAGGAGGGTGGTGGGGTGCCGACTCAGTCGGCAGACTCGCGCGCACGCTCCATGTTGGGCAGGGAGGTGGTCGGTGCGGTGGAGCCGGTCCACGATGACGAGGCAATGCTGGAGCAAGTCTCGGGGGGGGGGGGGGGAGCGCGCTCACTCGCCGAGCCATTCTCCGCCTCGCTCCCCAACGCTGAGGGTTAAAATCGCTTTAACGTACTTGACGATTTCGACGGCGATGCCGACCTAGAAGTCGCCACAGCCAACGAGGAGGACGCTGTCATCTATCAGATTCTGCCTAGGGTGTCTGCAGCTACTAAAGCGTGAGTCCGCCACCGCTTCATGTCGAAGCGCCCAAAGCACTCGTCTGGTTCCCAAGACCTCGACGCCGATGAAGCCATCACCAAAGCTCTGCAGGAACTCGAGGAGACATCGCTAACAGCTCAAGCGGCAGTGGACGTCGACGTCATAGGGGTGGCCGAACGCCACGTCGAGGCGGTCAAGTTGGAGTTATCCAGGGCCAAAAGCGCGGAGAGTCTACTTAATTCGATAGTGGCGGCTCCTCATGCCTGGCAACTTGCACTCCAAGCTTCCGAGGTGGTCGATCAGTTCGAAGACTTCATCTCGCTACACGCTCTGAACCGGCAATTGCTCCGCCTGCCTAACGCCAGCTCCAAGTCGTTTACAGCACGGCTCGCGACTGTCGATCAGTTCCACTCTGGGTCCCGCTCTCAACTCATTGCCTCTATCACAGCTGCGGCAGGGTCATCCGAAGAAGGTCGCATTGGCTGGCTCCACGCGCGATGTGTCAGTCTCTTCGAGCTACTATTGATTCTTATGGCTACTCACACGTTTCGAGACGACTCGTGGCTCGCCATCTTCGCGACCAGCTCCCCGTCCTTCTTGAAGCGTAAAGGACTGCGTCTTCTGGCGGAAGCCACGCTGCGAGATCTGATCCACTCCAGCTACGGTCACGGAAAGCCTTCTTCGGCTGCCAGGCCTCGCCACTCTACTCGAGATCTCTGGGTTGCAAGCTTCCGCCGACACGGTCTGGATGGACCTGACGGTGTCAGAGGTGAACCCAGCGACGGCCGACCAGGATATGGGCCCCGACCGCAGCTAAGGTCTTGCCGGACTGGCATAACCTCAGCGTGCTCTCCGCCAATTTGAACGGGATATCTCCAACTGGCACGGAAGTGGCCCACCTCGCCCGGCGCCATGCCATTGTGTGTATCCAGGAATCCAAGCTGCGTGATGCGTCTCAAGCCTCGACGTTGCGTTTCGTGGTGGAGGCTTCGGCCAAGCGCAAAGCTTTCATCAATGACAGGAACGAAAATCACTCGGGCTCAAGGGCCACTCGTAGCGGTGGCATCGTGACGGTCATTGACCCCAGCTTACCCGGTTTATCATCTGCGGAGGAACTTGTTCAGCACCGTCGCGAGGGCAGATACTCAATCGTACGACTGGTGATCGGGCCTTCGGTGGTGTATATCCACAACATATATGCCCCCAATGGCAGCAGGGAGCGCAATAACTTCTTCGCAACGTTACCTCGGTCTTTCCCTGAGGATGTTGTCCACATTGCGTGTGGCGACTTCAACTTGACGCTGAACCCCTCGCTTGACGCGCTACGACCCGCGTCAGACCCGAGCCAAGCTGAATGTCAGGACTGGATGACTGCCTGGCACTGGAGGACTGTTGGCGGACCCATCATCCAGCGGACTATGTTTTCTCCGGGCCCACAAGGGCAAACAGGATAGACTACATCGCCGTCTCGGAGGACCTCTGCACTCATCAGTACGCTGACTCCGCGTACGTGAACCTGGACAAAGGAGGAGATCACCTCGGCGTCCAGCTCCAGCTAACCAGTTGGCATCATCCACGCGGTCTGGCTTCATGGCGAGTGCTCCGGTGGTTACTCCACAACGAAGGTATCCGAGAGGAAATTCGTACGGCGGCCGCCGAGCTGCTGCGTAACCTCCCTAGCTCTGACAATCCAGGCGTCCTCTGGTCAGCCTGGAAATACCGGGTCCGTAAGTACCTCCAACGCCAATGCAGTTTCCTCCGCGCGCGAAATCGTCATGTTCACGACGCCCTTGTCCGCCGTCTGGAAAGGCTGTCGTCGCTGCGAGCAGTGGACTCCTCCCCAGCGGTGGCCATCGCATGGTATTGTGCCAAGCGGGACGTCGAACTCATGTTGGAGGGACGTGAAGTCTACAGGAGAAGCTATCGATTTGACTATTTAGCGACTGCACTGGAGACCAACTCGTCGGCCTTCTTTCGTCCACCGGAGCCTGCGCGGCGGGTACCGCTCGATCGCGTCGAGCAGCAGGATGGGACCGTATCCACGGATCCGGCAACCATCTACGAGACTTTCCAGCAGAAATGGGGCTGTATCTTCGGCGATAAACGATTTGTCACGGACTCACAAGACGTCGCTGTCGACCTGTCTGCTCAGGACCAGCTCGTCAATGCAGTGGAAGATGTGCTGGCACCAGCCGAGGCTCTGGACCTCGACAGCGAGTTCACCACATAGGAATTTACAGAGGCGATCATTTTGATGCGGAGCGACGGTGCGCCGGGCCCCGACGGATTAACGGCACGCTTCTATCAAATCGCTCCAGACATCTTTGGGGAAGTTTTGGCTCGGGTATTCGACGGTCAGTTCCAGCGCGGCACTCTGTTAAGCCACCAGAACCTTTCCGAAGTCTTCTTGCTGCACAAGAAAGGGTCGAGAGCGCGTGTGGAGAACTACCGACCGATATCGTTGATGCCAGTGGAGGTAAAAGTGGTCTCCAGGGTTCTCGTCGAGCGCTTGAAGCCTCTGATGCACAAGTTGGTCCATGAGGACCAGCAAGGTTTCATCCCCGGTCGCTCGCTCCATCACCACCTGTTGTTGCTTTTGGACCTGCAAGCCTTCTGCCAGTCCACGGGTCAATCGGGGTTCGCCGCTTTTCTAGACTTCGAGAAGGCTTACGACCGAGTCGATTGGAAGTACTTGCTTCGTGTCATGGAACGACAAGGGTTTGGTCCCCGCTTCCTCAAGTGGATCCACATTCTTTACTCGAAACCAGCTTGCTCCCTCATGCTGGACGGCTGGAGCCAACCCAAATTATTCCCGTCTCGTGGTGTGAAGAAGGGTGATCCGCTCTCGCCGTACTTGTTCCTGCTGGCAATGGTCCCTCTGGGAGTGATGCTTCGTCGTCAACCGGGCGTTGGAATCCCTCTGCCTATGCGCCGCATTGCTACAAGCCTCTTCTTCGCGGATGACTCGTTGCTCCTCGCAACGTCCATCGAGGGGGTACACGCCCAACTTCAGACAGTCCAAGTCTATTGCGCGGGCTCCGGAGCCAAATTAAATGCCTCCAAGTCAAGACTGCTTCCGCTGTCTGGCACCTCCGCCAGGATAACTTCGGCTCCGCTGCCGGTAGTCGCAGCCGATGAACGTGTTCGATACCTAGGCACCGACTTCGGGTATAATGTTAACGCCGAGGCCACGGAGCGGGACCTTGACCAGAAGCTGAGCCAAGCACTGCGACGATGGCAGTATCGCGCCCGCACTTTCGAATGCCGCAAACTGATAGTGACGACGATGGTACTCTCCTTGCTCTGGTACAAAGCCCTTCATCTCGTCATCCGTCCGACCACGATCCACAGATGGCAGCGCATGATCATTGACTTCGTCGTTTACAAGAAAGTACCACCCGCCTCAGCTCGGATTCGCCTTACCACCGCAGAATTGGCAGTGACTCCGACAGCGCAAGGAGGCCTCGGTGTCCCAGAACTCGCCTTGTTCCTCACGCGCCACAAGATGCGACTATTCCAAGAGTTTGCAGCGACGGTCGAATTGTCG